ATATCTATCAACTTGTATCTTTACATTGTTCTGTTTCCACAGATATATTTATAAACATGTACCATTACATTGTTCAGATTCCATAGATATATCCATCAAGTTGTTTCGTTGCATTGTTCAGCTTCATTATATATATATTCATCAACTTGATTTGTTACATTGTTTCGCTTTTGCAGATACATCCATCAGGGGATTTGTCTGCATCCATTTTACATATCTGGCTCATTTGTAGGCAGACTGTTGGTTGCTCGCCTCATAGGCAGATACACTCCGATTTAAAAAAATAAAAACCCTCTCATTGGTCGTCTTTTACGACACGCTTGGTAGGAGGCAGTGGATCTAACCCCCCATGGGTCAACTTTTATTAATGCAGTGTTAGATTTTACGTTTCAGTTCCCAGGTGTTTATCTTGCAAATTGTCACAACGTTAGTCGTCCTCGCTTCATCTGACCGGTTCTCCCCCCTCCCCCCTCTTGTCTGTCTATATTTGGAGATCTGCAATTATGTCCATATGCTTTGCACTGGTAGCAGGTACCTAAGCAGCCACTCCTTAACGTATCTCTACACCCGGCTCTCTAGCGTAGTTGGCTAAACCGGACTGCACGGTGACCAGGTGACGAACTCCTTGTGGTCCGGGTTCACTCCCAGGGGGTAGGCAGAAAAGCCACATTTTCTCCCAGATTTACGGTATTTATCATGGAATCAAGGCCGAAGGGTTGCGATATCCATAGTACCGAGCCAAAGGGTTAACAACTCATGGTTTCTGGATATTGAAAAAAAAACGTATCTCTACATCATGGGTTCGTGCACTGAATAATTTTTTTCAATTCTCTCTGTCATCGAAAAGCTGCCAAAATCGCTACATCGAATGTTAACGGGAGTCGACCCCATGTGGCAATTTTTCGTTATTTTGAAGCCCCACCTTGGCTGTTGCCAGCGGCCCTAATTTAACCTAACAGTGTTTCCGAGACCTCTACACGGGTGATCCTCATCCGCATGGTGGCACTTTGAGTCACCGGGTCTTTATCGCTTTGTGTGATGTCATGGGGGGGGGGGGGAACATACTTATTCACTTAACTGGAGTAGTTTTGATGATTTTTTTAGCATCGCCACAATGGTCTCCGTTGTAACGCAGTCTTCTATGTCATACACAGTAACCAGGGGGTTCCGTAACGAAGTGGTCCAGCCGTTTGCCTCGCGCTGTGAAGGTCGCGGGTTCGTTTCAAGCCGCGCCGTTCAGTTCACGAGTGTTTTACTGAGATTCCTGGGGAATCATCGCAGAAGCCACGGAGGTCGTGCTCTGTGCGACACTCTCGGCATGCAGTTAGCAATTCTGCGGAGAGATACTGAGGCATATAGGATAAAACCCGGGCAATAAGGTCGATCCTCTCACCATTACCTTTACCTTTACATAGAAATCATACATAATTGGCACCTTTCCGTCTTTCCAGACGATAGTATTATATTGCGCTATGAGGAGGCATGAGACTTACAGCCCATTGCATCCTCTCCATAGCACAAAGCCTGGGCAGTATTATAGAGACCAATGTTGCCCATGCATCATGATCCCTCTCTCGACCTGCCTTGTTTACTCCAAAGGAAAGGTGAAACCAGTACGTTTGGAACAAAGCAGGCTGCAGAAGCTGCCGGATCAGAAGAGCAGAGCTCTATCTATCCGCCTGTCGGAGCTTCCCTCCTAGACCAGCTGCCAGCCAAGGCTAAGAGCCTGGTCTGCCATAACAAAGTTTTCAGGTTGCATTTCCTCTTCCTATGATAAATCTAGTATCCTCCCCAATGCGCTGCTCCGCCCGAAGACGTTGGCACAATATGGGATCTTAGGTTTGGTATACGCCGCCCAACATTCGGCGTAACAGAAGACACGTGGTACCGGCTACTGCTATACGGTAGCGCAGTCATATCTGACGAAAATTCATACATAGACCTTAGATAACACCGTGAATTGTGTCTTGTGGCCACGCCTGTCCGGTTTCTCTGTTCTACATCTTGCTAGAATTCTCCACTTTCGGTTTCGCTGTTTATGTTATATAGATCTGTTCATATATGTCGGGGTCATATTTTTGAGGTGAGGGATTATGCTGCATGGTCTCTACAGTAGTGCCCAGGCTTGGCGATTTCGAGAGAAGGAACTTCATCCATAACCTTAACAGGTTTTGGAATTGTCTCTAGTGAACTGCATAAGGGTAGACAGTGTTATGCTGGCCTCTGCTACGATGTAAATATTTGTGCAAGCCAGATATAAATGGTACAGGTATTGAGAGCAGGATGTCGTTTGTCCCACTGCATAAACGGGGAAAAAAAGGGGGGGGGGGCAGGAATGGGTGAACTGGAATACACATACGCGCAACGCCAGTTTCAATCAGGTCATAATTATATTAGAAAGAGAATCTAAAGAGTGGTGAACCGGTATGGCAGAATTAGAAATACAATAACTGACAGATGAAAACGCTGGACTAGATTATACAGTAGTGTACACAGATGGTTCTGTTCATCGGGGTAAAATATTCGACTGGTGATTTTCAGCTAGATTGAAAGGAAAGACCGTGGCAGAACAAAATGCAGCCTATATATATATATATATATATATATATATATATATATATATATATATATATATATATATATATATATATATATAATTGCAATGGGGATGGTGGTGGGGGCAGTCACTGCAGCTCTAAAGTTGACAGCAGAAAACAGAGTAACCAGAGGATTTATTGTGACTGATTCTCAGTCGGGACTGCGGAAGGTTCAAAATGGACACATGTGGGATAGTCTTAAAGCCAGCTGGTTACTCTAGCATGGCCGCGGACTGTCTTTCTCGTGCATACATATGGCACACAGGAATAGTATCGTCGGGAAAGAGTTAAAGGGGAAAGTGAGTTCAGGACCAATCGACACTCAAGGGATGATGTGGCCAACAAGACACATCATCATCATGATGGCGTAGACATTCATGCAGCTCCACAGATCTCGGTCTTTGGTGTTCTGGATCAATTCCACTGATAATATTCCTCTATGCCACTGTCTTAAGCCATTCACCATCATTTCTCTTGATCTGCCTTTGCGTCTTCTACCAGTGACATTTCCAGTCGTCAACATATTTTCTAGTGCACCATTTTCTCATCACACGACCAAAGAACTTTGTTTCCATCTCATAGTTGTATATAATGTTTTACTTTTCGTTAGCCATTTCCACCCAATAATTGTAAGTTATTCTGGAAGTCCAATGTATTCGCAACATTCTTCTCAAGAACACGTCAGTTGCCTCCAAACTCTTTATAATTTGTTTGCTCACATTCAACAAGACACGGGTCGAAATTATGTCGCATGACATTTTTTTTTTTTTTTTGGTGCTCACTTCTGGCAGAGCGAGCTGGGAACCAAGGGTCACCTATAAATGTCTGTCTCGATGTAGATTTGAACTCAAGACTTTCGAGCTTGTCGTCAGGAATATAAGTGTAACAAAAAGAACACCGACCATTTTCATATTGTATCATCATAATTAACATCACATTTATCAGTATTAACTGAACTCAAATGTTTCACGTTTTTTTAGCTGACCCCTAACAGCATTTCTTTAGTGCGTTGAGATAACATTCTAGACGTTAAACTGTGGTCTCTTATGATTTTAACTTCCTCGTCCTATTTCATGTTAACGTTTATTTTTCAAAAAATTCATTTAATGAAAGTTAAATTTGGAAGCAACTTCTTCTTCTTCTTCTTCACTTCTTCTTCACTTCCTCTTTTCCCGCTGTGGGTGTCGAGGGAGATATAAGGTTCTGTTTCTGGCTCTTCTGGCCGCCTCGACCATAGGCACATCGTGCTGTTGTAGAGCTTCTCTGATGTTATCCTTCCATCTTGTTCTTGGTTTGGAAGCAACAACCTAAGCAAATTGATGATCATTAAATGGAATGAATTTAAGAGAGAGAGAGAGAAAGAGAGAGAGAGAGAGATTTTAACAACCGCTTGTATCATCAGCGATACGACAAAGCAGGTGGCAATATACTGGGCACGTCATAATGAGAAATGGATAGTGAATGGTCATTTAGGCTCTGAAATGGGAAACAAATGGTCTGAGGATACGAAGATGTCCGAGAGAAATGCAAGGGCGAACGTTCATGAGAAAGGTCAAAAGAGCTGGACTGGGTTCCAACCATGAGATCTATAGGACCTTATCTGGTACCCATTTAAGGCTCCATCGACCTGAGAGCCAAGGTCATGTTTGAAGAATTCTGGTTCGTCAGGACCTGTAGGACCGTTCCGTGATGTGATACAGAGAGACGGTCGTATCAGGCAGAACCAAAAAATGGCCCGGGAGGGGGAAGAGGGATGCATAGCCAGCAGAATGAAAATGCAAGTTCTTTTTTTTCTTCTTCTTCTTCTTCTTCTTCTTCTTCTTCTTCTTCTTCTTCTTCTTCTTCTTCTTCTTCTTCTTCTTCTTCTTCTTCTTCTTCTCCGTCTTCTTCTTCTTCTTCTTCTTCTTCTTCTTCTTCTTCTTCTTCTTCTTCTTCTTCTTCTTCTTCTTCTTCTTCTTCTTCTTCTTCTTCTTCTTCTTCTTCTTCTTCTTCTTCTTCTTCTCCTTCTTCTTCTTCTTCTTCTTCTTCTTCTTCTTCTTCTTCTTCTTCTTCTTCTTCTTCTTCTTCTTCTTCTTCTTCTTCTTCTTCTTCTTCTTCTTCTTCTTCTTCTTCTTCTTCTTCTTCTTCTTCTTCTTCTTCTTCTTCTTTTTCTTCTTCTTCTCTTCGATCTCGTCCTTAAAATCGCGGTCGGTACGAAGTTTGTAGTTTACTGTTAAACTGCGACATCTTCAGCTCATCATTATAGTAAACTCCTAATTGGTTGCCTTTTATAACATGCTTGCTAAATGACAGTGGGTCTTCTTCTCCATCCTTTCCCCCGTCTCGGAGCACTGGAACTCAAGCGGGGAGGGGGGGGGGTGTTCGAACGCAGACTAAAGCAACTATGTTACTGAAAGCTCAAACCTTCTTGTGTCCATGGAAACCGACTGGTGTCAGAGGACTAGAACGTTCATTTGCGTAGTAATCGCTGGCATCTGGTTTAGTGTTAGGAGCTCCACCGCGGATTACGGTAAAGCTGCAAGTAAAGTTTAAAAACTAAAACAGTCCGAGAAGATATTACTGAAAATCGCTAAAGGGGATTACAGCTACACTGAATACAGCGTGAGAGCGTTACTCTCACATTGGCAGCTCCAGTACACAATACAGACTGTTTCAAGGACAGAACAAAGAACAAACCCCATTGGGAACGGGGAGATGAAACATTGTTTGGGAGGTGTGATGGGATATTGCTGGGAGGAATCAGGGGGTCGTAGCCTTGTTTATAGAGATTATTAATACCAATAATAGGCTAAACTGCGAATAAGTAGTGTTGGCACTTTTCCGTCTTTCTAGGCCAGTGGTTCTCAACCTTCCTAATGCCGCTACCCTTCAATACAGTTCCGCATGTTGTAGCGACCCCCAAACATACAATTATTTTCGTTGTTATTTCTTTAATGAATATGTGTTTTCCAGTGATCTTAGGTGACCCCTGTGAAAGAGTATTTCGACCCCCCAAAAAAGGGACGTGACCCAGAGGTTGGGAACCGCTGTTATGGACGATGGAGCTGTAGTGAATCCTGTGAATCGGAGCCCATGGCAATGGCAAGTATCACTAGCAACCCCCCCCCCCTTTCTACCCCCCCCCCCCTTTTAGAACAGTGGATTTCAGGACCGTTGTTGCCATCACGTGTATGTGATGTACTTCTTCTCTGACTATAGTCCGTTCAGAAATTCATGAACATGAATAGATTTTAATATTCTGGATTGTAATAAAATTTGGTATGCTCAGTTCAGACATAGATGACGCCTAAGACATAGTTTCCGCTAATGAAGAATATCAAATGTAGCTTTTTATTTTTTTAAATCTTTACGATAAATATTTTGTATCATGAAACCGCCCTTGGGAGAGTTTTGGAAGGTTTACTAAAAGTTTCTTTAATTTAAGGAAATAATGGTAATAAGCCCACTATTAAGGGTTCAACAGGGGGTCAAAGAAACATTGTAATTTCACGATCTTATTGAGCAAAGTCATACTGTTAGTGAACGAATCCCAAAATAAGACGTCGTTCAAGGTTGTTTAGTTAGAGGCGTATCAACAATTAAGTCTAGAGTTATTGCATCACAAGGTTGGCTTATCAAAACTGATTTGGACATCAACTTCATAAGAGTTTGAGGTGCACATGTATAACTATGCAGAGGGTTACCCTTTTACTGTACCAACAGTTCCACCGGAATTCTAGGATGGGTAATTTATATTGTGATCTTCATGACCAGAGAAATGAACAAAACTGGCGTTTGATCTGGGTGGAGCATAATTTACTATAAAGATACGCCTCTGAAAAAAAAAATGGACTTGAACTTGACATTAATATGTTTACTGTAAAATCTAAAATGTAATTTACAAAGATTCGTGAAAAAATAAACAAAATTAGCAAAATCCTGAGCATCTATGGAATAAAGAGTGGAACGGTTTTTGAGTCATGGATATTAAAAAGCTGCATGCAAAACAAACATAAATATTGCGATCTAATAGATAGTTTTCAAGAAAATAGATTACAGACGCGTTAATGAAAGCCTGAACGGACAACAGTTTGATCATGTCAGTGATTGTCTTGTACTTACTCAAACCGGATGGCCCCAACAGATGCACTAGGTGCTCTCCATTCAAATGAACTTGTCGCTTTCACTGTATTATTGGTCTGTGTGATTCCATTTCCAGTCTGTAACAGTAGTGGGGGGGGGGGGGGGGGGGACGTGTTAGCAGGCTGCGCAAGTTTACTTGTGTTTAGCGAACACGCAAACACAATTTAATAAACTTTCCCCAAACACTCCCCCCCCCCCCCTTTTCCCCCAAAAAAAACCCAACCTCCACCACCCCCCTCCCCCCCAAAACCCAACCTCCTCCACCCCCCCCCCCCCCCCTGCTTGATTATAACTCGCAAATCATCATCGTCATTGTGTATCATTTTTACGTCACCTAAGTAAAAGTAAAGGTCCTTTTTCCACGCCTTTAGGCTTATTGGGAATATAGCACTAGACTTATATTTCTTTATAGACCAATCGACAGTTCTTGATGTGGTCAGCATCACGCCGGGCTTAGTCTTATTCCTCCATTCTTCTCTTTCTCTCTCAGTCCTTTGGATTTCATAATGATTGCAGTCCAGCATTCTTGGCGTTTCCTATCAACGACCTTGATTGCTCAAACTTCCATCAGCCTAGAGAGAGATATGGAGACATGTTCTTTGGCGTTCTCCTCAGCACGGTAAGTGCTGCGCATGGCATTGATAACATCTTTTCTGTCCAGTACTGGACCAGCAAGCACGTTCCATTCAAGACCCGCATGACCTGGCACAAAGATGAAGGTTAGGACAGCCATTCTCGAAGTGCTAAGTGTTGCAATCCATTCTTCTCTGAAAAAAAAAAAAAAAAACCACCAGAATACTGACAAGATAATATACTCTAAGATAGTTATATAAAGATATAGAAGAAAGCACTCTTCTCTATATCAAGCTCACGGGATCTACAACAGTAAATCTCATGGTTTGTCTACACTGAACTGCTACCAGCATAAAACAGTTTGGAAAAAAAAAATAAGATTAAGCTAGACTAACAGGGCAGATTCCAATGCATCATCCAGTCTCCAAAGAAATTGTAACTCGGGTATCCGTATTGGACAACTATACCAGGTCGGATTCAGCCTGCAATCCTATGCTGGTAAGGACTGTGCCTGTAAGCTCACCACTTTATGACCTGTATATACTCTCTGTGCTTAGATATTTCTGCATCACCGAATTTGAAACCACGACCATCGGATCTGCAGGCAAGCGTCTAGCAGCTACACCCTGGTTGTTTTATTGTTATATAAAAACACACTTATATAATTTACCGGACTCGTAGCACAGGCTAGTCTAGACTCTGAGCTTGGGTTTTGAAACAAGCCAACAGGATTTGGATCTGTGCCATCCGCTCTGCGTCCTACAACTAGATATCCTTTGTGAGATGCGCCACCCAGTGTAACTAAAGGAATGGAAAAGCATTGATCTGTAGGTGGAATACTTTTACAAATTCTGACAGGCATTATTCTCCTTGCCAGAATGCTAATGTATCTAGCATCAACTCTTTTTGATCTACCTCTGCGTTTCTTCCCACCCATCTCTCCCCATGCTTCGTTGTACTCGTCTTCCCCTTTACCAGTATGACTTCATTTCAAAACTTTTTCATTGTCTGTCTTTTTTTTTTAATTGTGTATAGTTATTTTTAAATTTTTTTTTTTTACAAATTTAGACAACCCGTCGAGTAGGGTGCCTCTCTCTCTCTCTCTCTCTCTCTCTCTCTCTCTCTCTCTCTCTCTCTCTCTCTCTCTCTCTATCTATCTCTCACTCTTTCTCTCTCACGCACATTCACACACACTAACAGCCTTGTCATCAAGGGCCTTGCCAACCCTTTACGGGCGACCATGCCTCTCTACAGCTTGGTATCTTCAACATACATATAAGTTTGTGTTCTAACACCCTTCTAAGACATGACAAACTGAGGTCTTGAAAAAGAGGTGTAGTAAAGGAGAAGAGAGGAGGAGGAAGAAGAGGAGAATAAATGGTGTGTGCGAAATCACTTTGAGGTATAGATAATTAATGAATTGAGGGCTTTGTGAAGCGTGGATACCCACGGTCATGCATGTTGTGTCGACGGGTTGTGAATGTAACATTTCGGGGTCACTAGAAGAGAGTGGAGCATGAGACTCTGTGGAAGCATGGGTGGCTTGAAGTTTATGACGAACTGGAAGACGTCATGGATATTGTTGAATCCGTGTGGATCGATACCAAGAATGGGCTGTGAACCCCGAGTATTGGTGTGAGATCCACGCGGAATTGACCGCGGGTAGGAAAAGTCCTGTAATGGTTTGAGTCGGTCGCTTTCAGTTCGGTAAATTGTGTGTATGTTTGCGCGAATTGTCCATGTCCAGTGCGTGCATGTCATGGACTTGTGTGACAGTTTTAGCCATGTTTTATTTTGTAGAAATTGTTTGAGCTGTCTGAATGATTGTGATGGATCATGAGTAGGACTTCGACATTTTGTCAGTGATTTTTTATTTTTTATTTTTAGAATGGACGAATCAGCCATGTGAATGTGGTCGGGACCGTTACTGCTATTTGGCACGCCGGTTGAAAACTAAAACAGTGGTGTCTCGATATGCATCTGCTTTCAAATATGTCCGACTTCCGTTTTCAAAATGGCGGACAGCAGCTGCGTTTATTTTCGCTGGCTGTCAATTCTCTCGGATTATTCTGTTTCATAAACATGGACTGTTATTTTATGCGCATTTCCAACGCAGGATATTATGTGTTTTTCGTGGGAACAGCGTGTATTGTGGTTGTGCTGTGTCGGGGCGGGATAATGGCCGATAGTTTTGGCAGCCTCGGCCACGCTGCCTTTGCAATGTTTTGATCGCGGCGGTCCACTCGGGAAGACAGAATCTCGTCAGCAGGGGACTGCAACTGTCTAGAGAGCAAACTCGATAAAAGCTGTCCTCAGAAACGGAATGTGTCAACCATATATTTGGTGGGGAGGAATCGACACATACGGTTAACTCAATGGCCATGGCCCGGCCAGGCACGCCGGTTGACAGGGTTTCCCTAAGTGCAGAGAATGTTAGTTAGTTAGTCTTTCCTCTTGTGTCGAGTGCGGCACATAGGGCAGAGGTCGTGACTCTCCATGCACGGCGGTCCGTTGCAATCCGTTGTTACTTGATTTATCCATTCTAAGGACGTGGCCGACATAGTTCCAGCGGCGTTTTCGTATAAAATTAGACACATACTCTTGCCTGGATTCTTGCCTTATTTGTCTTCTAAGGCATTTATTTTCAAAACTGTCTAATTCTGTGTCTAGAGTTTTCGTTAATGTGCAGAGAATGTGCTAGGGATTAAATTTTTTTGTATATGTTGACCAAAGTGAAGTTGTGATGGGGATGTATCGGAGGCTGGTTAACGGGAGCTGATCAGTGATATTAAAATGAGTAGCTGGGGAAGCAGACGAGAGGTCTGGATTTTTTCACTAAGTGGTGCATGAGTCCTGGCGTGGTGGGGTCTTTTAGAGAGAAAACCATCAGAGGATTGTCACTGCACACCACTGCGATTGGGTGTCTTTCGCCAGTAGCAGGTACCTAGTAGATAGTTCGCTGGGGTGTATTGCCCATGTCTAGATCCTGCCTATGTGAGTATTTGAAAGTCAGTAGTAGTCTTGACAGTGGGTCATCGACCACCAATTCATCTTCGCCGCAATGTGTTTGGCCATAATAAAGAGACTGATCGAACTGAAAATCACACTTGGCTTGGTGTAGTATATTACAGTAATCGTAGACAGTGTTAGTTGTTACGATAAGACGTCTTCGCTTGTTATGCGTGCCTAGCTTACATACAGTGGTGCTGTTGTTTGGCTTGGCCACACTTTACTCCAGTTATTACGACCACCAGTCTGTGCCGTGCATAGAGGGAATAGAGGGAATCCAGTGTGTATGTGTTAAGGACTGACATCTATAAAATAAATCCCCTAGATACTTGGCAAGCGTGCAGTACTTACCCGGACCGCACGCAACAATAAAGAGGAGGAGAAAAGGGAGAGTAGGAGGAGAAGAAGAAGAGATTGAGGAGAGAAGAAGAAGGAGGAAAATAAGAAGAAGAAGAGGAGAAAAGAAGGATGAGGAGGAGAGGAAGAAGAACACGTGGAGCTCTAAAAATGTAAAACACACGTACTTGTAATAACCTGGTTCGGGCTGTAGGTAGAAGAAGACAAACGTAAAATATACGGCGACGGGCCAGTAGAAGAGGAAGGCCCATGTGAGTCCGGGATCAGAGTTGCGCATGCGCTATCTGGAGCTCCATGTGGATACGAGGTAACCATGACAATAAACACCGCCATGGTGACACCACTTATCCATAGATTTCTACCCGTCATTTTCAGTTGTTAGACTGAAAATGTAAATGTAAGAATATGATTGCAATAGTTGGGCAAAAATACTGGTGAACAAATATACGGCTGCCTACACTTTATGGTCAGATAGCTTGCCTTAAAGCAACAAAAATAACAAGAATAACGGAGATTATCCAAAGCAAAAGTCGGCTCTCCTCAGACGTTTATTTTTAACTTGAAAAAAAAAAAAAAATCCAAAAACGCAGTTATCCAATGGCATGTTTTTTTTTTTTTTTTTTGTAGTTGTTGACGGAAAAGCCAGTGGACCTAAAAACTATCGTTGACAAAAATGCAAAAGAGCCTAGGGTATTTTTGTGCGCAATTTAAACACATCCACTCATTGAATTAAAAAAAAAAAACTTTTAAGAGCCACTTCTTCTTCTTCTTCTTCTTCTTCTTCTTCTTCTTCTTCTTCTTCTTCTTCTTCTTCTTCTGAATTTTATACTGTCAAAATTATTTTAAAACTAAGTTTATTTCAGCAGCTATGCGTTTTTTAAAGTACATTATTGTTTTTATTTTTTATTTTTATGAAGGCTGAGCTCAAAAATTGGTTTCGGGCATCTTTTGGGAAGATAGTTCACGTGCTTGATTAATGATATAACAAAAGACAATAACAAGTTGAGGCATATTATTCCGGGTTTACAGAAAATTGCTGATTCCAATACCTAACAATAAAAACCGCAGTAACCTGTAGTAGTACTGACAGTATTTCTATTGTGTAAACCACATGTTTCATGTTTATTTGAAGCTACAACAATAACAGACTGCATACACAAATGAGATTCAAGGAAGCAGACCTTGAGGTAGAGCAGGGAGACAACGGAGAGAGAAAACACACACGTATACATGTATAGATGTCTGTGTGTCTTTGTATGTGTGTGCGCGCGTGTATTTATATCAAAGAAAACCAAGGCGAAAGTTGATGTACATCGTCGACCGGTCACCCATTGGCTCGCCGGTAGACGACTTCGTCACGGATCAGAAGAGTATTTGGGTCTGTCTCCTTTGATCGTATCAACACTGCAGCAGTCCTTTTCAAAGATCTTAGTAGCGTGCAGTGCAAATATACATTTTAGGTGGTGCACATAGCCTAGCCACAGTTATAACCTAAAGCTCCCCCTCGGGGTTATGGTTGAACGTGAAGGTTTTCTTTTTCCTACAAAGCGCCTACTTACGAACGTTGATGAAAGTGGCTACAGGTGCTAGACTGGGCTCCATCCATGATTCTGAAGTTATTGCATAGGATAGAAGAGAATAGGGTGACTAGACGGTGATCTCTATGTCACATACAATAGCACAATAAGACAATGAATGAATGAATGAATGAATGAATGAATGAATGAATGAATGAATGAAAAAGAATATTTAAATTACTAGAAATATTAATCAAATAGTGACATTAATACTAAAGAATGTGCTCATACACTAACCTGTAAATAAATTCAGTTATCGGCAGCAAATAATTAATGTTAGAAAGTGTTAACGATAGACGTTTTATGGGCGTTTTTATCAGTCAGTCGTGGGGGGGGGGGGGGGGGGGAAGTCACAATGTCGTTGGCACAGATTTAAAAAAACGGTGTCAAGGAAAGTATACAATGACAATCTCATATCTGTGTTAGAATCACGATTCAGCATTATATGCTATCATACCACGTGGAAACATGTGCCACTTTGTAATACATCGAAAAGCAGGAACAACAATTATAATTAGCAAAAATATAGGTTGAGTAAGATACAACAGATGAGCCAACTGTATTAAAATTGTTCTTTTGAAGAAATGACATAATAATATTGTCTACAAGGTTCCCACGTGGCTTCAGGGACCCATTGGGGGGGGGGGGGTGTGAGAGAGAGAGAGAGAGAGAGAGAGAGAGAGACTATATTCCCTACTCCTTACCAGTGATATTCTAAACTGCGTATAATTAAGGTCATCAGGAACCTCTCTTGGTAGAGGTGGTATGTAGTAAGTTAGCTTCGTTCGGCAGGTGGTGAGACATGATTCGACTTCAAAGACTGTACTACAAGGTACACTGGAAGGTAGTAGAAGAAGAGGAGGGCAAAGAAGAACTAAGTTATCACACGTTTATTCATCAAGCTAAAGACAAAGACAGGTGGCGGGTTTTATGTGCTTGTGCTTCCATCGATCGCCTGGTAACTCTCAGCGCCAAGTAAGTAGGACACTGTGTGTGTTGGACAACCCCAACAGGTCCGTAAAATGAACGACCAAACCCGGTGACACGAAGTGCCACAATTTGAATGAGGATCACCCGGGCACAAGTCCCAGAAACCCCATTCAACCGTTTGGTTATATTAGGGCCTCAATAAGGGACGCAATTTTTGTAATTTTGAATTCCCACCCAGGGTGCCATCGCACCCTAATCGAACCTAATCTTTAAACGAATTGTGACATTTAGTGTCACCAGGTGTTTATCGCTTGTTGTGCGGTCCTGGTGGGGTTAAACGTCACTCACTCACTACCCCGGATTATCCCATATCGTTCGGTCCCTCTCTCCACCGAACAGTTTTCTGGCTATCGAGAGCATCGTACAAAGCCTGAAATCCCTAGCTCCGTAAATTTCCGGGGGGAAAAGGGGGGGGGGGGGGGGGGGGTCCCGTTTAAACTGCACCCTGAACTGAACCATGCATCCGACTTTATAGCGTGAGGCAAAATGTCCACTTTGCCATGGAAGTAATCGCCACATTCCATGCATTTCTTGGTAAATATTTTAGGATGTATCGACCTGATAGTCTTAGAGCAATTTTTTTTTTTTTTTAAATTGCCCACATACGGATGCGAACCTAAGATATTCGAGTTACTGGGCAAGAGCAAAACCAATGATCTGCCGCAGTGTCCAGTAATTTTCTAGTGTCATTCATCACAATCCTTTATGAAACAATATGTTTCATACTGCAATAAAAGCCAAGTGCAGGAAAAGCAGACGTAATGAATGAATGAATTTATTAACGATTGATATCTTTGTACTCGCGACATTCCGAAACATGCTCTGTTCCCTTCGTCAGTAGCCAACAATGAGTTGACATTCTAATAGTACCAGTTGCAGCCTGATCGCAAGTCCGCTTCCATTTCCCTTCAGTGTTGAATATCTCCCAGAACCTCCACTACCCCCCCCCCCCCCACCCCCAATCCATCGTTACTTAGTCTTTCAGCACATGGATTCCCTTGCTTGCTTGTTTTGCACTCCCAAATAAATCGCCACGTTCAACCAGCATCTTTCGGGGGAAGGGGGGATGGGGGGTATTTTTGGTTATAATTGTGACGAGGTTGATGTGCGCCATATAAAATGGCTTAGCATTGCTCGCAACCAAGCAGTCATAAAAGGACTCTTGCAGTGTTGATGTCATCATGGGAGACAGACTCAAACACTGTCCCGATCCTTGACGAAGCGCCTATCGGAAAGTAGATTAGCGACCTGGTCGTCGATCCCTGTATTCTATTGCACCGACTATTCGATCCCATGAGGCATTCGCCACATCTGCTTTATCATATAGTAGCTCACCGCCCAGAGGAGCAGCAGCAGCTAATCTATCAGCCTGCTGGTTATCTTGTACACCTGAATGCCTGGACAGGAAATCCATGAAATGCTCTTGATCTTGGTTTTATCAAGTGATGCAAGCTACTCTGCGCTCAGAACACTACTTTCATATTTCTTTTAAAGCATGCTCTGTGAGTTTTGTTAAAATTACAACATGTAGGACAGTGCTGCTCTCAGGCCATCGGAAAGCTGACGTCACTGCCACCCCCTCCGTTCTCATTCTGGCTGTCGTGACATTGTACGCGAGGCTCTCTGTTTTCAAGCAGTGTCCATTCAACTTTGCAATAAAGCTCCACCCACTCTTCTTACGTCTCACTACAGACCGATATGCATATAGTATGATGTCACTTGTGCGTGAAATTTGATAATCAGCTTCTGCACCGCTGACTCTGTTTCACTAGCTATCCATTCAACACTCTCGATCCAAGGTTACTATCTCTCTGTGCAAATCCGTTTTGTTGGGCGGCAATGTAACCAATTCTTCACCACCCGCTATCTTGTAAGTAGCTCAAACAGTTATGATCGTGATCTCTGCTTGTGCCATCCAAGAGCCACCTCTTTTCAGCCGTTATCACTAAGACCCTCATGCAGAAAGCTTTTTCTGCCCGTTGTGACATTTGCACCTGTAAAACCTTGCATCTTTCATGTACGGATGGCAATACAAGTATATGCTGCATGCACACATTCGGTGTGTTTAGTGTACACCCAAGAAATGACTCCCATGGCTTCATTTTGAATGCGTTCCAGTTTCTCTGAGTATGCGATAATGTTTGCAGTCTCATGTCGTACTCGGTCACCGATAAAATCAGATGCTGAAAGAATGAGTAGAGTTTGTTTTATTCCATGTTCGCTGATGCCATCATCTTGACAGCAACGAGTCGTTTCCCTATCTTTGAAACTACCTCTTCCACGTGAAATGTGACAGACTACTGTCAACAGTTATTCCTATATATTTTAGTGAATTATCTATCTCTATGTCGGCTCTGTGGCTAAGTCGATGCGAACGTTTCGTAATGCCGGGATGCCGGGTTCGAACCCAGCTGCAGGCCATGCTCCTTGCGTTGGTTTCGACAGTGGCATCAAGAAAGCCGACCGTCCAGAAACCAATGGCAAACTACCGGACGTAAATTTGCCTAGAAAAACCACATAACAGCCAGGAGATGTTGGGGTTGGTTCTGCAACGTCCTGTAAGGGATACGCAACTAGCCTATCTATCTCTTTGTTACTGACGTTTATTGTGATGTCCGACAACACTCTTAAACAATTATATTATTTAAAGAACACCACAACACAGCTGCCTTATCTGGGTTGATGACTGATCCTGTTCCTCACACTATTCACATACCTTATTTACCGCGAGCTGCAGTTCTCTGGATATTTCTATATTTCTCCCCTGTTGTAGACTAAAAAATCGTCACAAAAAGTCAAGAT